GGGAGTGAGTGAAGAGTTGAGCACAGTTCGTGAATGAGCACCTTGGGCCAAGCCAATCCTTCGTGAATGAACGCTTCCTCTGGGGGGGTCCGTTGGTCGCCTGTGTCTTGGACAWCACACGTMTGGAAGCACCTCTTGGCATAGTCTTCRATCTTGTCAAGAAAGTYATTCACCACTAGGACAATGGCAGCCCCCACATCCATCCAGTCGATATCAGAGATTACCTTGTATTTTTCGACCGTGGCTAARACCCGCGGGCTGTAYATCARAACTCTTTTGGCCTYCCCCCAGTACCTTTCGCCCARCTTCTCGACGGGTTTRTTGTCCGYRAGCGAGAATATTTTGGCCAGGGTCCATTCYGTGAGGAATGCCAGYTTCTGGTGGACCTCGTCATTGGCTGTGAGCGGTGGGGGGYTGACATCAACTRGTGGGGGYGGCGGTGGGGGGGCAACTTCAACCTCCATTTCTTCTGCCGGAGGTTGAAGCTGCTCTGGTGGCGGAGGCTCCGGGGGCGGGGCCGAGGTGTCCATATCTTGCAGCTGCTGCAGCTCTTAATACCATTCTGGCAGGGCAATGGCAGGGAACTCCGGGCGGTACACTGTGTGTTGTTGTTGGGCCATCTGTCTTTCGATCTCTTGCTGCCAGAAGATCTGCAGTTGGTGCTGTTGTTGGTGTAAGACATACTGCTGTTGGCAGCAGAGCTGCTGCTGCCATTGCATATGCAGTTGCTGCAGTATCTGCTGCTGGAGCAATAGGCGGGCCTCGTACTGCTGGTGTTGGTATTGCGCTAGCTGCGCTTGCAGCAGTGTACGCATCTGGTCATCACACTCATTTGGCTAGAGGCAGTGCGAATGTTGTTGGCACTGGCCCAGGGATTGATGAATCTGCATATGAGTTTGCTGTTGGGGCTGCTCCGGCTGCTGTTGGCAGCGTTCTTGGAACTGTTGTTGTTGGGCGTCCCGCCAGTGATCTTGCAATCGGTATTGTTGGGCGTCCAGGCATTGGTGTTGTTGACCTTGCGCTTGCAACTGCATTTGCTGGGCCTCCAGCCTATGCTGCTGTTGGCATTGGTCTTGGAGCTGCTGTTGCTAAGCATGAGCGAGTAGTTGTTGTTGCTGTTGGGTGTGGATCTGTTGGTGACACAGATCGTGCATTTGCTGTCGTTGCTGGTCGTCACTGTTGTGACGCTCAGGGGACAGGTATTGATGCTGCTGTTGGTGTTGGTGGTCATGCAATTGCTGGCGGCCGTGCTGTTGATCAAGCTGCAGCAGTTGATGCCCCTGAATTACGAGGTCGGTCAATAGAGCATGCGGGTCATCAGTCTGCTGCTTAGGTGGGGCATGGCAGTGGATCTGTGGGCGGTAGTGAGTGGCATCCGGAGGGCGGGGAGGCGGTAGCTCACGGGACCCCAGCAGACCCTGTTGAATAGAGCCTTCAGCGGTGCATCCTTGTGGCTGGGCCGTCTGAGAAGGAGGAAGCTAGATAAACTTCTTCTCCCCAGTTAGCTGAGAGACCACTTCTTTGAGTATGGCGCCCGTGTGTTTGTTTACGCCAGGCGGACCCCGTATCTGGCCCTGCAAACCCTTTTGCGGCTCGAGGGAGTGTTGTTGTTGTATGAGTCGGGGGTCTTGGTGTCGGGGTTGTTGGGCATCCAGGCATTGCTGCTGATGGCATTGCCCTTGTAATTGCAGTTGCTGGGTCTCCGGCCATTGCTGCTGATGGCGCTGCTCTTGTAGTTGATTTTGCTGGACCTGGTCGAATTGATGTTGCTGGTGCTCAGCGGACAGGTCTTGGTGATCCTGTTGGCGCTGGTGGCGAAGCAGTTGTTGGGCGCCTTGCTGTTGATCCAGCTCCAACAGCTGCTGGCATTGTGTTGCGAGGCCAGTCGACATCTGCATCTGCCGGCCCCCCCCTGCTGTCGAGGGACGAGCTGTTGGATCCCTTGCACGGTCAGACTTTGGTCAGCTGAGGGCGAGGGATCTGAGGATTCGACATTCAGGGTCGAGGGGGGCTGTGTTGGGAGGACAGCGCCTCGCGGCGTGTCCTTACGCTGAGAGAAAGCGGCGTCCTTGATTTTGGATAAAAGTGTGTTGGCCCTCCTTCACATCCGTTGCGATTTGTGCTTTTCAGCTTTCCCTTTTACCTTACCTTTGATCGCCCCTTGCTGAGGCGGAACGAGTGTAGTGCCCGGCATGCCTCCCGGTGGTCGTAGAGAGGAGGGGAGGGGTGCAGCGTTCAGAACAGTCGCCGGGAGTGCAGTGTTGGCGAGCTGTTCGTCTGCAGTTTGTTGCGCAACTGGTTGGAGGAGTTGCTGCGTTGAGACAGTACACGCTGGCAGACCAGGTTGCTGTCCGGTCGACTTGGGTTGCTCCACCGGCGGGCATGCAGCGTTCATAACAGTCGGCGGAAGTGCAGTGTTAGCGAGCTGTTGATATGCACTATGTTGCGCAGCTGGTTGGAGGAGCTGCTGCGTTGTGACTGCACCCACTGGCAATCCGGGTTGCCGTCCGGTCGGCTTGGTTTGCTCCACCGGCGGGCATCCCAACCCCGAGTCGTGGGTGTGTGTGCTCACATCAGGGACGGCAGTGCCACCCAGTGAAGCGGCCCCGATCTGTGTGGGAGGCAGGCCAGTTAAGTCAACAGCGGGCCTGGCCAGTGGCCCAGGCCCAACCGCGGGGCCGGCCACCGGTGCAGGGTCTCCCACAGGGCTGGCCCTCGGCCCGGGGTCAGCAGCAGGGCTGGCCGCTGGCCCAGGGTCAGCAGCGGGGCTGTCGCCCCCCAGGGGCGTGTCTTTGATATTGCCCTGCCCTGGCGCCCCCGAGGTAGACGTGGCCGAGGGCCCCCCTTCTTTCGGCCTGGGCCTGTAGGCTTGGCGGGTCAGTGGCGGGGGGGGCTTTGGGCTAGCAGACGTGGTAGGTCCATCATTCAAGCGCACATGGGCTTCACCCGCAGCAGCCTTACTGCAGCCAGGGGCCCTCCTGTCTTTGGGCTCATGTGGTTTCAGAGCGGGCGTCGCGGGACTGTTTTGCTTTCCATTGTTGCGGGTGGAGCCCTTCGGTCCTGTGGGCCGATGTGATTGCGGGGCAGGCTCCATGGGGCCCTTTTGCTTACAGTCATTATTGATGACACATCTGGCCCCTGCTGGGAAGGCCGAGGGCCGTGCTCTGCCTTGCCAGATCCACTTCCCGGGGCGTCCATCCGCGTAAACTCTGAGGGTCCATCCTTCTAGCTCCTTCTCCTCCGGGTACCACCACTCCTCATCCGTGGGGTGGGGGACCACCAGCCCCTTTATCTTTGGCCTGCGATTCTTGGGGCATGCTTCTTCCGAACACAAATGGCCTCTTTCCTTGCAGGCATAGCACCAGGGGTCCTGCTTGTGACTGACTGGGACGGAGAATTCCTTTCCCCCCTGGGAGTACCGCCACTCTTCATTTAGAGGGAAGGGGTAGGCCGGGTCCCAGTCTACTGCGACCAGCAGGGAGTCATCCCTCCTACCCAAGAACTGAGGCAGGTCGTTGATGTACCCTTGAACGTGGGCGATATTTTCTAAGTTGGTAAGGATAGCCCCCTGTACGCAGAGGGGGGCAAATCTGAACTCAACCCAGAAGTTTGATGCCATGAGATACTCACGTCTGTCATCAACAGACTGCGGGTTGGCAAGGGACCACGCCATCACCTGTACCAAGTTCCCTCTGAACCGCCAGGCCCTATTTTTTAGGAGGATGTGTTTATCGGTCGAGTAGAGGGCGACGACTGTGATGCAGTCGTGGTCGTCCACTTCAATAAGGAAGTGGTCATTAACCAGGTGGCGGTCTGGTTTGATTGATCCCAGTCTGTCACTTATCCACTTGAACTTTTTGTTGACCGACAGTCCTGGATGGGAGGGTTGAAAACGGAACTGCACAGCTTTGTGTGCATATATCTCATCCCTTCTGGCTTTGGCTAGTATGGGGAAGACGGAGTGCGGATAGATGTATCCATCCTTTACTCGGAACTTCCTTTCCGGCTCCACATACAGCTGCTGTACGAAGTGACTCTTGAGCGGGGCCATCGGGTCGAGGGAGGTAGATTTCGCCGCTCCCGCCTGTGACGGGGCTGACAGCACTTTCACCAACTGGGGAGGGGATTTCTGTGTGTTGTTTGATGAGGACGGGGTGTCCCGGGAGCCAGAGCCCGGGCCCACCACCATGTCCCTCCACGTGGTGTTTTTGGTCCCCCGGGTTGCATCCCCCCCTTTGGGCATCTGTCGCTCCGTTGTCTGCAGTCTCCCTGGTTGCACTGTTCCGGTTTCGACTGGTTTTGCAGGCTGCCGATCCCCGAACTTGTCAGGGGAGGAGTGGTTGTCAGGGCTGTCCGGGTGACACATCAGCATCTTCGCAAGAGGCTGGGGCTGTTTTTGCATGGCCTGATCGGAAATTGTGTCCTTACCTTTTGGTTATTCCCGTTTACCACTGTCAGTCATCGGCACAGTCCTGACCCCCTCTCTCCCTTCCCCCTCGCGCCCAGTCATCGGCTCAGTACACACCCCCTCTCTCCCTTCCCCCTTTTGCCCATTGTCCAGCTTTTCAGGCCCCCGTTTTTTCATTTTCGGTTTTGCACCGTTTGGCGGAGCGTTCCCTTCAAGGGAGGGGGGTGGGTCTGCATGCTCGGCTCCTGATGCCGCCATCCGTGGTGGCCCAGGGAGCCGTATCCACGGCCTCCGAGAGTGGGGGGCGGCGGGGTAGCAGAACGAGGAAACACCAAGGGTATGGAATTAAGGGTGGGGGAGCGGGGGGGGGGGGACACGAGCTGGGGGGACTGTCTCTTATACACATCTAGATGTGTATAAGAGACAGGTCATCATCAGAGTCTTGCTGAGTGGCTCTGTCAGCGCTGTTGTCGTCATGAACAAT